CACAGACCAGTGGCCTCTGAGCAGCCACCCTGGGGTCTGTCCCTGGTCATTGCCCTAGTCCTGGTCTTCTCTGCCTTCTCCCCCAGTCAAGAACCGCATTGAGGCCAGTGTGCTGCTGGCAGAGGCCTCACTGGCCCGGAAGCAGCGGAAAACACACGCTACCTTCATCCCGCTGATGCTGAACGAGATGCCACAGGTGGGGGACCTGGTGGGCCTCGATGCCGAGTTTGTCACACTGAATGAGGTAACCACAGTGAAAAGATGGGGAGTCGGAAGGGAGTGCTGAGGGGATGAGGGATTAAGTATTTTCTCTGGTGTCATATTAACTCTCGTTAATAGGAAGAAGCAGAGTTACGCAGTGATGGTACCAAGTCTACCATTAAACCAAGCCAGATGTCGGTAGCAAGGATCACCTGTGTTCGGGGCCAAGGGCCTAATGAGGGCATCCCCTTCATTGATGACTACATCTCTACTCAGGAGCAGGTATGAGGACATGAGGGGCCACTTAAGTCAACCCTGTGCTTGCACAGAGTGCCGGAGGAGAGTGGTAGGAAGTGACCGCGCCTTCTCGTGCCCCAGTGATTGTCTTTCTGTCTGTCTGCAGGTAGTAGATTACCTGACTCAGTACTCCGGGATAAAGCCAGGAGACCTTGATGCCAAAATTTCCTCTAAGCACCTCACAACTCTCAAGTCTACCTACTTAAAGCTTCGATTTCTCATTGATATTGGAGTCAAGTTTGTGGGTCATGGTCTGCAGAAGGACTTCCGGGTCATCAACCTCATGGTTCGGGCAGGGATTATTTAGGAATGTTTTTGCTGTTGTTACTGTTTGTTTCTTGTTTGTTTTGACACAGGGTCTCACTATGTAGCTCTGGCTGCCCTGTAACTAGTTATTTTGAGCAGGCTGGCTTTGAACTCACAGAGATCCACCTGCCTTCTCCTGATTGTTAGAAGGTGTGCAGCACACCATGCCTGGCATTTTTTTCTTCTTTCATATGCAGCCTCTCCCCACCCTCCGTCCCTACTGTTCTCATGCAGTCCGTGTGTGCACACTCACACTCACCTCCTGAGAGCACCATGTTGCATGTGTAGAGGTCAGAGAAAACCTTGTGGGAATAGATGGAATCGATTCTTTCCTTGTCATGTTGGTCCTGGGGACTGAACCTAGGCTGTCATCGGTGGCAATGCCTTTACCTGCTGAGCCATCTTGCTGGCCTGGGAATTATCCTGGAGGGTGGGCTTCTTCGTGTTCATGTTTTGTATTCAGGGAGAGTATGGGTCACCTATCTTGTCTTTTGTCCCTTTGATCCCTGCCAGGTGCCCAAGGACCAAGTCCTTGACACGGTCTACCTGTTCCACATGCCCCGGAAACGAATGATCTCCCTGCGGTTTCTTGCTTGGTACTTTCTAGGTGAGTCTCTCTGCCCTGTTGTACCAATTAAGAATAGAAGATGGGGGTGGAGGGGTGGGGGGTAGGGGAGTGGGGAGCAGGGTCTGTAGCTCAGTTGGTAGCTTAGCATGTACAAAGCCCTATGTTCAGACCCCAGTATCACATGAAATTGGACATGGTGATACATGCCTGCCTGTAGCCATAACTTGGGGCATAGACACAGAAGAAACAGAAGTTCAAGATTGGTCTCCATTACATAATGAATTCAAGGCTAGCCTGGGCTACATAAGACCTTATTCAAAAACAAAAAAAAGTGGGGGGGGGGAAGCTAATACTTTCAGCTCTTAAGTTTCAAGTCAGCCTGGGCCATATAGTAGACACTGTCTTAAAACAACAACAAACCAGAAACAAAAACAGAAGAGGAGACATTTGGAGTAAACAGTGATTTCTCAGCTTAAAATTATAATGTCTTTTCTGCTGATGGTTTCCGTTAGCCACTGCCAGTAACTTAAGAAGCTTTCTGGGGCTGAAGAGTTGCCTCAGTGGTGAAAAGGCACCTGTTGGAGAGGACCCAGGCTCAGTTTCCAGCACCCACATGTGATCTGACGTCCTCTTCTGGCCTCCATGGTCACCGTGTACACCTGCACAGCTGTAGAGCACGGAAATACATGCAGGCGAACACATAAATCCTAATTGTTTAAAGATGTCTTCTGGGAGACAGGGAGTCGGCATGGGAGTAGGGGAGCATGTAGAGGAGTTCTTCAGGAGTCAGGATAGAAATGGGGTCCCCCTGTGTGAGATCCTTATGAACTGTATTTATGCCAGACCTGAAGATTCAAGGCGAGACCCATGACAGTATTGAGGACGCCCGCACAGCCCTTCAACTCTACCGAAAGTACCTGGAACTAAGCAAGAATGGCACTGAGCCCGAGTCCTTCCACAAGGTGCTCAAGGGTCTTTATGAGAAGGGCCGAAAGATGGACTGGAAGGTGCCTGAGCCTGAAAGCCAGACAAGTCCCAAGAGTAAGGCTGGGTTGAGACAAGGGAACTGGGTTGGGTAGGTTTTGATGGTGTGCACAGACTGTACAGCCCCACCTTAATGTAATGGTACTCCTGCCTCCTACCCGTGAAGGAGCCATCCGACAGTTGACAGATGGCCCAGTTGCTCTAACAGCCAGTGAGATGGACTTTATTTTTTAAGTTATCCACTGGTGTGAAGTCTCTTGCCCAATCCTAGGACATCTGAGGAGCTGTGCCAGGCCCTCCCTTGTCTCAGAGTTACAGCATAGGAAGTGTCTCCAACGCTTTCCCTACTCACCCTCTGTCTCACTCACTGTGTCTCATGACAGGCACAGCTGTCTTCCCCTCAGTACTGGCACTCTGACCTGCCCCTGCCATCCACATCCTGTGTCCCCGGACCTGAGAGACGGCTTCTCCAGTCAGCTTTACCCTGTCCACTTCCAGAACTGGATCTGCTCAGGGCCTGCAGATGCTGCCGTTCATAGAACTGGAAAGCAGCAGAGCTGTTGCAAATGTTCTAGAAGCTAGATTCTCTCTTTATCCTCTGCAAAATAGTGGGCCAGAAGCAAAGCCTAAATTGACCCAGGTGGAAAACAATTGGTGTTCTTAATACATATCCTGGGTAGTGACTGGTAACTAAACCAAAAGTTCCTAGAATCAGAACTCTCAGTTCCCAGCCAGCTAGAGACTGATGTCCTGGACAGTGACGGTACATCAAGAGATCTAGACATCTCAAGCCTCCTGCTGCTTGAGAGATGATGGCTGGGAACCAGCATGTGGGTTCTTAATGGGCCAATCGAACCAGTGTGGAGGGAGCTGAGCTATCAGCCTCATTCCCACTGACAGCTGACAAGTATGTCTTCCATACATTCTGTCTTGAGTTTTGTTTAATTTTTTACAAAAGTTTGCTTAGACAGCATGTTTTATAAAATAAAAGTATTTTTATCTCATTAGAAGACTGCTAGTGTGGGGTTCTTTTGTCTTCTGCCCTTCCTTTGTTCGCTGAAAGAAAGAAAGAATTAAAATTGTGTTCAGATCCACACATAGAGATGAAGGGTAGATTCTGGAGTCCAAAATGGGTGTATCCAGGAGGGATATAATTTCCCCTGGACAGTGTTTGGTCTTTGCGGTAGTTAGCGCCCTAAACACATAAAAAGATCACAAATTCCAGTTTATCCTAAGACCCGTGGAGCCAGGCTTGGTGTCTGCCTGTAATCCTAACAGTCTGGCCAGCCTGGAATGGGAGTTGAGTTCAAGCCCATCCTGGGCTGCATAGCAAGACCATCGAACCTATAATAGTACCAGCGATGTGCTGGACTTCAGAGAGGAATTGCCCTAGGAAAGTCACAGCCCACGAGCTAATATTAACATTGCAGCTCCTCCCTCATCCTCAGAGGATAATTTAGGGGACTCTCGGGACTCTCCAAGAACGCCTGAAAAGGCAGATAATAACTAAAAGTGATTTTCCCCATACATAATCGCGATAACTCATTAGTTGTGCACAAGAGAAAACTAACTAGTTTTTTTTTTTAAAAAAAAATAGAACAAAAAGACCTGTAGCTACTGTCAAAGCTTGGTACCGCAGTGCTTCCTGGGAAATGTAGTTTCCTGTGTAAAGAAATCTTTGTCTATGGGACCCTGGGTCTCTCTTTCACTAGTTGCATCTGCTTGGAAGTCCTTGCCCACCCGGGCTGATGCATCATCCCCTGTGCACCACTCGAGCTGGGGCCTCACCTTAGGCGAGGCTACCTTTGGTCTTTCGGGTGGTCACGTGGACGGATCCGCCACGCAAGTCTGGGTCCTTAAACCTTCCGAGGGGTCCTCGCGGTCCGGGAGGCGCTCCTAAACTGCCTGTTCGCGCGAGAGTTTGGAGGGGCGGGCTCAGGATCGGTTTCGGGCAGGGGCTCGCATGGCTCCGTCCGATCCCTGCTTAGGTGCCTAGGGAGGGGCGGGCCGCTCGGCCAGGCGGTCCCTGGCCACCCTGAGCCTGGCGGGCGCCGCAGCGCTCTGGAAAAGCCGGGGCAGCCTCGCTCCTCCCAGACAGCTGCTCGGGGTGGCAGTCACAGAAAACAAAGTGAGAGCCCGGCGGCTTCCCAGTGCCTGGGCCACGGCGGCCGTGGGAGCAGAGGTGGGACAGACGCGAGCGAGCACCAGAGGCTGTGGGCGCCCTGCGGCTGGGAAGGGGCCCGAGGCCCGGTCTGCACATGCTGGAAATGCGGGTTGTGGAACCCTTGGTGCTCGGTCCGCATAGGCCCTTAGTTATGGAGTGTTCTCGCTGGCCTCGTGGCAGCCCCTTTCTGCCCGTCGTCCTTGCGTGATTGCTAGTCCCCATCCCGTAGCTGCTGCGTAGCTCTGTGAGCCCTCCAGTGCTAAAATACAAATCACCAGGCCGTCACCTGCGGAGGACATAGTTTCTGGAACTCTCACTTCCCATCTCCCACCCCCAGGCACTCTGGTCCCTCCGGGGGTTCGTAACTTGGCTTTTTCCTGGGTAATGGAGCCATTCGCACGGAGGACTTTGAGGGCCTCGGGATAAAGGGTGGCGGGCAGGGGGAAATGGATCTGTCTCCTCACACGTGTGTTTCATTTCCACGCGAACCCAGGTGGAGCGACCTAAAGATGAAAGGCTGGGGTTGGCTGGCCCTACTCCTGGGGGCCCTGCTGGGAACTGCTTGGGCTCGGAGGAGCCAGGATCTACACTGTGGAGGTAAAGGCACAACCAAGGAGAAGGGGGAGGAAGCCGACCCTTGGGAGGCGTGAGATCTGAAGAGTAGAACAAGGATGGTTGAGCCCATTCTCCTCTGTCCTCATCACACCCCGGTTTCTCTCTCCTGGCGCCAGCTTGCAGGGCCCTGGTGGATGAACTGGAGTGGGAAATCGCCCGGGTGGACCCCAAGAAGACCATTCAGATGGGATCGTTCCGGATCAATCCAGACGGCAGCCAGTCAGTTGTGGAGGTAACTTACTGATATCCCCCCCCCATAAAGTCGCTCACCCAGGCTTTGACTAGGTACTGGGGTTTAGTTCGGAAGGGAAGAAAGGCGGCGCCATTTGACCCTGTAATAATCCCAGCACTCAGAAGCTAAAGCAGAAGGATCTCTTGAGTTCCGGGCCGTCGGGACCGCACAATTAAATACTGTTTTCAAAGAGAAAAGAAACAAAACATCAACCAACCCGAACATTCTGTGTCTGACAGATTGGGCTCTATGCCAGGTGTGGTATTGCAGGCCTGTAATCCTAGTACTGGGAGGTAGAAGCAGGATGATCAAGGGTTCAAGGCCAGCCCGGACTACTCCAGACCCTGCCGCACAGATACCACCACGCATAGCTGGGTTTATTGGCCGGGCTTATTGGAAGACGCTGGAAGCTCATAACCTACAGACGTCTTGGTCGCAAACCTCAATTCATTGTTTCTGCTGTGCAAGTTAGCAGATGGGAGACCTTGATCAGTCTCCTTTTCTGCATCCCTCGTTCACAGGACTCTTGCTTCGCTATAGTAGCATAGACTAAATACATTTATTTAAAAAAGAATAAAAGGTCTCCTCCAGCTGGGATTATACAGTTGAGGTGGCAGAGTGCTAGCCTAGCATGCACAACGCTTGGGTTTGGTCTTTATCGTCCCATAAACCCAGCATACGGGTACTCACCTATAATCCCCGCATGTCCCCAGAGTCTTCCTTGGAGCTAGACCAAAGAACACTTGCTGCTGTTCACGACTTGGTTCAGATGCTCTCACCCACATGGTGGCCCATAATTCCTGGGGAATCTGATACCCTCTTCTTTTGTCTGTGGGCACTAGGCATGCATAAATGCAAGCAAACATACGCATAAAATAAAAATCTTCTTTAAAAAAAAAGTTTGTATTCAAGAAGTTTATATTAGAAACATAAGATATACATAGACAGAGGCTGGAGAGTTGGCTCAGAGTTTAAGACCACTCTTCCCAGAAGGAAGCTGCTCTTCCCAGAGGATCTGAGTTCAGTTTCCAGCTCACCCCTGCCTGTAACTCCAGCTCCAGAAGTTCTGAACCCTTACACAGATACACATGCAGGCAAAACACCTATGCCCATTAAAAAAAATAAAAAAATACATGCACAAAGCTATACCTAGTAAGTATTACACGAGGGAACTTTTAAGAAGGGTTTACTTTTACTTTATGTGCATTGGCGTTTTGCCTGCTTGTGTGTCTGTGTGGGGCTCTCTGATTCCCCAGGAACTGGAGTTGCAGTTCGATTATGTAGGAACTAAGGAAGTTGAGGGGGGTACATTTGCCTAGAGTGGTGGCACACTCCTTTACACCCATTACTTGGGAGACAGAGGCAGGTGGATTTGTATGAGCCCAAGGCCATGGCCTACAGGATGAAATCCTGCTTCAAGAGAAACAAAATAAGTGTATGTGAAAGTAATTTGAAAGGAAGGGTGGGCAGACATTAAAACTATATTTTCCTTACTAGGAAGATTTTTCTTTTTCTTTTTTTTTTAAATGAGTTGTTTGAGCTAGATTTGCAAGGGAAAATAAGTGTGCAGATTGAGGTGGATGGAGAGACCTAAAGCTTAGTACATTTCTAGGTTCCTTATGCCCGCTCAGAAGCCCACCTCACAGAGCTGTTGGAGGAGGTGTGTGATCGCATGAAGGAGTATGGGGAACAGATTGACCCTTCCACCCACCGCAAGAACTACGTGCGTGTTATGGGCCGGAATGGAGAATCCAGTGAACTAGACTTACAGGGCATCCGAATCGATTCAGATATCAGTGGCACCCTCAAGTTTGCGGTGAGCTGTGGTTGTGGGTAGCGGGCTCTTGGGATTGTTAGTGGTAAGTTGGGTGTTGGAGGCAGATGTGGTGTTTCGTGTCTATAATTCCAGCACTCAAGATGCAGAGGTAGGAAGGGCTAGCCTGGTCCACATAGTGAGCTCCAGGCCAGCTAGGGCTACATAATAAGACCCCGTCTATAAAGATTCTCTCCCAAAACCCAAGTAGAGGGTTGGGTCGATGTCTTGGCCCCTGTGTCACTGTGTCCCCTGGCTTGACAGTGCGAGAGCATTGTGGAGGAATATGAAGATGAACTTATAGAATTCTTTTCCCGAGAGTCTGACAATGTTAAAGACAAACTTTGCAGTAAACGGACAGGTAAGCCACGCCCCCATTGCTTCCCAGCCCACTCCCCCTGTACTTCCTAAGTTATTCCTCACCCTTTACTTCCTAAGTGCCTGCCCCTTTATTTACTTCCTGTGCTCGAGGCCCACACACTCACACCTCTGACTGATGTCCCACAACTGACGTCCATCCATCCCCCTTAGTTTAGGGACTGGGTTAATCCCTCTGCTCTCTGCTCATCAGCTTTGAGAGTACGTGTGTCCATTCGTCCTCCTTAGATATGGGAGATAGAGCAGTGGGGATAATTTGTCATTTATACGCCTGCCCTTTGAACAGTGGCGGCGGTTGTCAGTTCCTTGAAAGGGGCTATGTGTGCGTGTGAGAGTGGTCGTTTCCTTCACATTGTCCTGTCCCTTTTGCAGATCTCTGTGACCATGCCCTGGACAGATCTCACGATGAGCTATGAATCACTGCAGCAGCTTAGACCAGCTCGATGGAGCGCCCCCAGGAGGGGAGATGGTGGCATTGCCTTTTATATTGTTTTTATGGAAATGAACTGAAAAAAAAATGTCTGAAACCAAGAGTACGAACTGTGTTGTCTCTTCATGCCCAAATTTAGCCTTTATTTATATTAGGCTTGGAGGTAGGGAATTGCCGACTGAAAGAAAAGAGGTAGAAAAAAAGGGTAGAGTTTGGGGGTTGGCATAGTGTAAAGTTAGGCCCTGACCGTTTAATTCTCCATCATCTGGGACCCTGTCTCCTTATACCCCACAGGAACTATTTATTCGGCAGGCACTTAGTAGCTATTGGCCTTGTGAAGAGCTGTGTGAGCAGAGGGACATAAGTGATGGCACAAGCTTATACAAAGGCCTTGTATTTGCACCGAGGACAGTAAAGGTGGGAATTGGAAATTTGACCAGGAGTAAAGAATGGACATGCATTATTCTTCCCTCTGCCATTCCAGATGGAGGGCCCAGCAAGAGCAGAGACAGAACAGGGAGAGTGGATGTGACCTTCTCAGCTGAAAAGTGAGGGCTTTGTCAGATAGGGACAGAGGAGGTAAGGAACGTTGCTGTCCTTAAGTGTTGGGTTTGACGCAAATGGCAGCAATTAAAGTGTGTCTTTCCTTTGCAGTCCAGTGGTAAAACTTGTCTAACATGTGAACATCCCTGGTTTTGATCCACTGTTAGGAAAAGGTTTTGTCACTGGGTGGAGGTGGTACACCCTTTAGTCCCAGCACTCCAGAGGCTGAGGCAGGTGGATCTCTGTGAGTTCTGAGTCCAGCCTGGTCTACAGAGTGAGTACCAGGGCAGACTCCAAAGCTACAGAGAAACCCTGTCTTGAAAGGGAAAATAAAGATTGTATCGTCATGTATCACAAACCATTGATAATCTAGTAGACTATTCTGCCCTGGACATAGTGTTGGGAATGTAAAATACTTACCTTTTGCAACCTCTTAAACACCCTGATGTTGAGATGTTTCAGAGTTTAAAAACATTCTTGTCTCAGGAATACACCTTAGGGCATCTGAATGAATTGTTCAATTTTTTTTTTGTTATTGTTTCTTTGTGGAGTTACTGGGGGCAGGGTGGAATCTTGGATTTATTTATTTATTTATTTATTTATTTATTTTGGTTTTTTGAGACAGGGTTTCTCTGTGTAACTTTAGACTGTTACTCTGTAGCCCAGGCTGGCTTCGAACTCACAGAGATCTGCCTACCTCTGCCTCCTGAGTGCTGGGATTAAAGGCCCAGCTGGATTCTTTGTTTTTTAATTTTGTTTGTGAACTGCGTTTGGAGGTCAGAGAGCAAGCTTCGGGAGTCAGTCCTCTCCTGACTGGGTCCAGAGATCAAACTCAGGTCTTCACACGGGTGTCAAGTGCTTTTACCTGTTTAGGCATATCACCCACCCATCAGATTAAACTATGATAACCACAGACAGCTGGAACCAGCATTTGCAGAAAAGCCCAGAATTGGAGGACAGCTGGGCTTCGTAGACCTGGCCTCAAGAAAAAGAATAAAAGCGCTTGCAAGATTTGCTGCCAAGCCTGACCTGAGTTCAGTCCCTGGACCCCACTTGGTAGGAGAAAACTGACTCCCACACGTTGTCCTCTGACCTCCATGTGTACACGGCGACAAAAGTAAACATACACATGATAAATAAGTAAATACCTTTTTAAAAATTACAGCGTTTGTAGACGCTAAAGAGACCTTGGGCTGAGCTTGCTAGTACATAGCTGTAATGAAGACATTTCGGAGAAAGCGTGCCAGTTTGAGGCCAGCTTGAACTTCGTGGTGAGGCTCTGTCTCAAAAGCAAACAAACTTGAAATTCGTGTAATTCACCTCTGCTCATGTTGCAGCTGAATAAGATGGGGTCCAAAGAGGCCACAAATCCAAAAGTCCTGAATTTAGTACTAAAACTGGGTCTATAACTTTGCAGACCTTCAATCTGATCTAAAGTAGTTACAAAGTACCTTTATTTTGTGACTTAGTTTTCATTTATCATCATCATCATTATTATTATTATTTATTATTATTGAGACTGGGTCTTAACATGTAGCTCTGGATGGCCTAAATTCAGTTTGCTGTATAGACCACACTGGCCTCCAATCCAAACATCTGTCTGTCCCTGCCTCTTAGGTACTGGGATTAAAGACACTTGCCCCAAGGCTTGGCCAGAGCATCTCTCCCAGTGTTTTATGTGTGTATGTCTGCGTATATATCTGGACTGCCTAGTGCCCATGGAGGCCAAAAGAGGGCATTGCGTCTCCAGGAACTATACTTTTGGACAGTTGTGAGCACCATGTGGGTGCAGCAAGTGGAACGCAGGACCTCTAGAAGAACAAAAATGCCATTAACCACTGAGCCCACCCAGCTTCTGGAGCACACTTAAGGAAAAAAAAAAAAAAAAAAAAAAAAAGCCGGGCAGTGGTGGCTCACATTTTTAATCCCAGCACTCCAGAGGCAGAGGTAGGCTGATCTTTGTGAGGTGGAGACCAGGTCTACGGAGTGAGTTCCAGGCCAGGACAGCTAAGGGTACACAGAGAAACCCTGTCTCAAAAGAGAAGTTTTTAAAGGGGAAAACTCATTGTATGGCATATGGGCACTGGTGGGGGTCAGAGGACAGCTCTAAGTGTGTTTCTTTCCACCTTGTCATGATTCTTGGACTGGAGCTTTCTTTAACCTGCTGAGCCAACCCAGAGCCTGTGTGCGTCTACGTGTCCTGAATTTTATTCTCAACAATGGAAAAAGAAAAAAGAAAAACAAAGCAAAACACTGAAATAGACATTATTTCTTTGCTGGAATTTTTGTTTTGTTTCTGAGACAGGATCTCACTATGTAGTCCTGTCCGGCTGGCCTGGAACTCTATGTAAACCAACCTGCATCTGCCTCCCAAGTGCTGGGATTAAAGGCATACCACTTTGGGCTTGGTGTTTCCTAAACAGGGTCTTGCTATGAAGCCCTGGCTGGCCTCTCACAATCTTCCTGCCTCAGCCACAAGTGCTAGAGTTACAGACATGCACCACTTTTGTTACTGGCAGTTTTCCCGCCAGCCTGGTCCCATAGACACATCAGCTCCAAATAACACAGAGACTCTATCTGTTACTAGTGTTTCTTAATGAAGCTGTTGGCCTGTTGCTAGTGTTTCTAATTGACTAGCTCTGTCTTAAATATTAACCCATTTCTATTAATCTGTTTCCACATGGTCTTATCTTACCAGAGAAAGGGTCTAGACCTCTTCACTTTCAAGTCCCTATATCTTGAATCTCCTCTACTACATTTCCCAGAATCCTCCTTGTCTCCTAGTCTCACCTAGCTTGCCTTCCTATTTGCCAACAGTGCTTTATTCAGTTACCAATAAGAGAAACATATTTACAGAATGACATCTCCCATCATCTCCTCTTTTCTGTCTAAATAAAAAAAAAAAAGGGTTTTGACTTTAACATAGTAAAATATACAATAAAACAGTTATCAAATAAAAACTATAGTTAACAATATTTAGTCCATTAACATTTTAGCAAGATTTAAAGAAAACATTTCATCATCTACTCTAGTTTTATGAGTGTAAAGTCTTCTATGTAACTTATCTTTAATCCTAACTAAGGAAAACTATAACCATAACTATCTGTCTTCAACTCCATCAAAGACCATAGAAGGATAATGTATAAACTCTAGAAATGACAGACATGTCCCTACCTAGTCAGTCACCTGAAGTTTTGGAATGGATTTTCATTTATTGATACAATTTATGGCCAATTTTGTGATATGTATATTTCTCCTTTTGTTTAGGTAGTATGTTTATATAGCTCATTTAAAAATGTATAGTTAAGTACAGATTATAGTTACCTATAATAGTCGAAACTTAGGTTTTCTAGATATACAGAGATATATTTCAAATGGATAGACCTACAGAATATAGCATTTAAAATGGTTTAGGGTTTTTCTTGCCATTTGGGCAAGATCTGCTCTTGTCTGGACTGTTTGACTTTATGCTGTATAAACTGGACGGGCAGGACCCACAGGAAAGTGACTGCTGAAACAAGATGGACATTGCTGTAGGGTTTCTGCTCCATGGAAGAGTCTGCCAGACATTCTGCAGGACACAGAGAAAAGTGACTGACAAACTGCCCCTACAGGTGGACAGTTTAAAGTTTCCTGCTTTGCTGAGGAGTCTTTCAGACGCACTATGGCCTATATGCTGAAGATGGAACATTACAGAAGAACTTCAGGTGGCTGATCAGGCAGTGGTTACAAGATGTCTCTGTCATTTCTAGAGTTTATATATTATCCTTCTGTGGTCTTTGATGGAGTTGAAGACAGATAGTTATGGTTATAGTTTTCCTTAGTTAGGATTAAAAAATAAGTTACGTAGAAGACTTTAGACTCAAAAAGATAGGATAGATGATAGAATATTTTCTTTAATTCTTGTAATGTTAATGGACTAAATATTGTTAACTATAGTTCTTGCTTATTAACTTTTGTTATATGTAATTTTACTATGTTAAAGTCAAAACCCTTTTTTTTTATTTAGACAGAAAAGAGGAGATGATGGGAGATGTCATTCAGTAAATATGTTTCTCTTATTGGTTAATGAATAAAGCACTGTTGGCAAATAGGAAGGCAAGATAGGTAGGACTTGGAGACAAGGAGGATTCTGGGAGCTGTTGGAGAGGATAGTCAAGATGTAGAGACTTGAGAGAAAAGAGATCTGTACCTCTCTTTGGTAAGATAAGACCATGTGGAAACACTTATATTAATAGAAATGGGTTAATATTTAAGACAGAGCTAGGCAATAAGAGATGCTAATAACAGGCCAGGAGGTGGTGGCACACACCTTTAATCCCAGCACTCCGGAGGCAGAGGCAGGCGGATCTCTGTGAGTTTGAGACCAGCCTGGTCTACAAGAGCTAGTTCCAGGGCAGTCTCTAAAACCACAGAGAAACCCTGTCTCGGAAAAAAAAAAAAAAAAAGAAATGCTAGTAATATATATATATATATACATATATACATATATACATACATACATACATACATACATATCAGCGTCTCTGTGTGTTATTTGGGGTTGATGTGCCTGTGGAACCAAGCTGGCAGGAAAACTGCTCTTAACATACTACCATACCAAGCAATATTTTATTTTATTATTTTTCATTTTATTTTTATATTTGAGATAGGGTTTCTCTATGTAACCCTGACTATCTTGGATGTAGACCAGGCTGGTCTTGAACTCAGAGACTTGCCTGCCTCTGCCTCTAAAGTGCTGGGATTCAAGGTATTCACTGTACCTCCTCTCATTATTCTGTTTTATAGATGAAGAAGCAAACTCAGAGAGGTTAAGTGGTCTTGCTTGTCAGTGAGGAAGCAGGACTCCATTGCCTATGATCTTCTTAGCCAGTGATCTTCCTGCTACACCTCATTTTATGAGGGAGTCTCTAGGAGTTGTGTAAAAGTAATACTCCTAAAATGTGTTTGAAAATGACCTCCAAGTTTGAATGCATGTGTTCAGGGTTCTAATAATCACTTGTAGAAAAGCTTTACACCCTCTGATTATTTTTCCAGATGCCCATTCTGGGAATGAGGGAGAGGGATCGTGAGCTCCAGGCTGAACTGTCTAAAAGAAGCAGTCTGCTATACAGCTGGGCAGAGTAGTCCGTGCCCGTTGCCCAAGCCATTTGGAAGACTGAGGCAGAAGGATTGCTTGAGCCTACGCATTTGAAGCCAGCCTGAGCAATAGTATAAGACCCTGTTTCTCCACCAAAATGTTTTAGGATTGACATTGTGGTTCACATTGGAACCCTTCTCTAGTGTGCACGAACCCTTCCTTGTATTTGGTCCCTACCACTACAAGGAAAATGGCGTCCATCTTGTTCTAGGTGGCTTTTTTTTTTTAATGTATGTGTTCTATATATATATATATATATATATATATCAGTTATGGGTGTACAAAGGTTTACAGATGGGTGAGACTGCATAATTATCTTTTAAATTATCTTTATAGCCAGACATTGTGCTGATGTCTCCAGGACACAGGACACTACTGGCCATGATTCAAAAAATACTCTGGGGTTAGAGTGTAGCTCTATGGTAGAATATTTGCCTAGTATGTAGGATGTCTTGGATTTGACCCCCGGCACCTATGGAGTAAATGGTAAAGCCTGGCAGTTAGACATGGGCTCTGGAATGAGATTGACTTGAGTCTGAATTCTAGCTAGGCCAATTATGAGCAATGGCTCTTGGCAAGATATTTTATCTGAGTCTACGTATTTTAGAGTCATGAGGATTAATTAAGGTGACTCATGTAGTATAGTTAGATAGTAACTTGAAGTGGTAAGCACTAAATACATCCTGGCTTTTGTCAGCTGGGCATAGCAGTGCATGACTCTGATCCTGGCTACTCCAGTGGTTGAGACCAGAGGGTCAGAAGTTCTCGGCCAACCTGAGCAATTTAGTGAGCCTTTGCCTCAAAGTAAATTTAATTTTTCTTTTAGACAGGATCTCATACTCCAGGCTGTCCTTGAATTTACTCTGTAACCAAAGATGACCTTGGACACCAGATCTTCCTGCCTCCGCCTCCCAAATGTTGGAATTACATACATGTGCTACCACTCATGGCTTAGCATATGTTAGACTCACAGAACCACTCACGTGTTCATGTACACACACAGAGAGCAAGCCACTGTCTAAATAAGGAAGTTCATTTTACCTATAGTAGACAATGTTAAGAGCGCTAGAGCCTGTGTGTACCCATTTGCTTTTGGCCACCAGGGGGCACCATTGTCCCTGTGCGTCTTACATCCTTCCAAGGTCACACTGATGTCAAGCCTGGGCCTTCTCAGTTGTCCATTCTTGTTCTCACTCACTTGATTCTATTTGGACCTGGGATTTACTTAGCTATTATATTCATGGCAGCCCTAACTTTCCCACCTATATTCAGAAAGAGACTGTAGACTGGGCTGTGCCTTAGTGTTTGAGCATTAGTACAGCACAATAGAAGCCACTCCACCCCCCACCCCCAAGAAAGGTTTTCCCTGTGTATCCTTGGCTGGCCTAGAACTCAGAGATCCGCCTGCTTCTGCCTCCTGAGTGATGGGATTAAAGGTGTTCACCACAGCCGCCCTGCTTAGAAGCTGCATTTTTAATTCCCGGCGCCCAGAGACAGACGACACACAGATTCAGCTTTTGGGAGATTCCACGTAGCCCCTTTCATCTCTGGGCTTTCACCTTTAGAACCGTGAATATAGGGATTGAACAACTTTGAATGCTGAAGTTAAAATCCAGGACCCTACACCAAGGGAATTAAAACACTGCTGTCCCCACATTATCCCTGCAATTATTAAAACTCCAGTTGCCATTATGGCCACCCAATAACTGTGCCTTTGCTAGCCTCACCTGATGGTGACAGCCTTTTTTTCTTAGGGCACTGGAGTTTAGCTCTCTAACCTACTGGCTATCTCTGTGGATAATTAACTAGGGGAAGTGGGCCAGGTCAGACTATTCTGGGGTTATGAGGAAACCTTATGTGAGATGCTAAATTGGGAGCCAATATTGATCAGTGAAGCTTTGAAGTTCCTAGGGAGGTAGCTGCTTTTCCAGGGGTATCGTTTCTCTTGAAGATTTTCTCCAAAGGACTACCAAGAACTAACTACCTTGATTCCCAAGCCAAAAGACGAACACTGCTGGGCAGATACTTGAACCACTATGGGAGAACTTGTAGGGAGTGAAGGTTCTTTCTCTTTTTTCAAATCTAAGCCACAAACTGCATCCTCTATAAACAAGGACTGTTGGCTTACATGGATACCGAGACCTCTGCACTTTGGTACTGTCATGTGGGAAGATAAAAAAAAAAAAAAAAAGATCGTTCACTTGGAGTTTATAGATAAGGTGCCCTAATCCTTGGGTCAGTTTCTCTCCACCCTGAGGCCAATTACAATGATAGGCTTAGGAAAGTACTAAAGGTGTCCTACCCAGTGCTGTGTAAGATCTTAAATTCTTGTGTCATTTGGTGCAATGGCTTCTGGTGGAGCAGAGGATGAGAGAGATAGCCAAGTAGGAGAAGTGTCCTAGAACCCTTTGGAAATACTGCGAATGATGTGACGCAAACAAACAAACAAACAAACAGGGAGTGTCTAATGCCTGGAGGGTAGATCTGCATCCTCTTGCTAAATGTGAGGTGGGCTGACTCTATGGGGTTGTATAAAGGATGACAGAATATGCCCAAGACGCAAAGACTGAAAGACGCAGACGCCTACATATTAAGAGGGCCTTTGTAAGACTGACATTCCCCACAGTTCACAGACAGCACTAAATATTCAGGCGCCCGTTTGTGGCTCCTCTCCACATAGTGGGTGTCAGCATCTATACTGCCAGGGTTTCTGATGGTCTTCGTCAAGCAGCCGGCTTTGGCATCATAGGCTGCTTTCCACATGATGTCACCTGCACGGCCGTGAAGTCATTAACCAAAGACATCCTTTGAGGAAGCATGCCAAGCGGGTGTGTGTGTGCGGGCGGGGGTGTGTGTGTGTGCCACGATCAGTTTGCTGTGGTGCCGTGACCTTCAAGAGTCGCGTGCTGTTGCTGTAGCTTCCACATTCTCTGGAGAATCCGAAACGCGTTAAGGGCAAAGGGAAGAGCCAAAGAAGGAAGTTAACTGAGTTCTCAGGCACATCCTAGGACACCTACGGCCCCCTCTCCGCCCACTCCGAGTTAGCCTAGTCCGCAGGGTCCAATCCCCCCCGCCCTAACATCTGTCAAGGGCTCAAGCCCCGCCCCTCGTCCGCCCTCGACCAATGGCCGCGCCCGAGGCTTCTCCCCGGAGAGGGGCGGGCTCGGGTTTCGGCCAGGGGGCGGGGCCTCGCTGAGGACCCTGGGCTGGGCGCCTCTGCCGGTTCGTCTCCCCTTCCCTCCGCCGCCTCCTTTCAACCTTGTCCGCCGGTTGGCGCGGTCTCCGTCACAGCGGCGGCCGCTGCGGTCCTAGCTGCAGCCTCTCGCTCCCCGTGCTCGCTTCCCGCCGGGTCCCGGAGTCGGTCCCGCCATGGCTCTCCTCACTGCGGCAGCCCGGCTCTTGGGAGCCAAGGTGAGCGGCGGCGTCGCGGGGTGGGGCCGAGGCCACCGCAGGCCCTCCGGCAGCGAGCCGCCCGCCCGCCCGCCCCGGCGCGCAGCCCTCCGCGCCTTAAAGGGGCCCGGCGCCTGGCCGGCCGCCAGCCCTTCCCGCGGCCGCCTAGGCCATGTGCCGCGCCGCCCTTCCTCCCGGCGCTGGGGTGAGCGGCCGGCCGGCCGGCGGGTCTGCGTGCGGCCCGGGGCCCCGGCGCTCCGGCCTGACTGCCCGGCAGCGCCCCGAGGTGCCAGGGAGGCAGGGAGGGATGCGTGGCCCGGGAGGAAGGGCCGGAGAGGAGGGCAGGCAGAGGTGTGGCGTGCCGCCCGAGTTAGGGGAGGGAGTGCCTGGAGGGCCGCCGGCCGGGGGCGGGAGCTGCAGCCGGGGCTGCTCTGGGCTCCGCATGGTAGGGTGAGTCCTGCCAGGACCTGCCTCTCGGGTCGTTGTAATTGAAGGCTCCGAGTGACCCGGCCGCCGGGTCAGTTTTGGGAGAGGAGTAGAACGCCCCCCTCCCGTCCCCCAGCTCCTCTTTGTCCTTGGGACGCCTGCACTTAACTGTATAGGAGGAGCTGGGACAGGGTGGGGCATTTCTGCTAAACCTGCTGATAGAGTATCGCATAGGACTCTGGCGAGAACCAGAAAGGTTCCACCAAGCTGCAGGCCAATAAGAGGAGTAACACCATCCGAGGTCACATGACCGATTCTACTACTTGAGTTGTGCGGGTTCTTGCTGTTTCCTTAAGTCTCCTCTTAGGGGAGTACTTCCTCCCAATTCCCTGGGGCCCTTTAACTTGGACCTTTCTTTTTTGCCTTCTCACTACTTTGGGCTCTGCATGACTCGGCCCTTTAAACAGAGGTCCAGTTGTGCCGAGGGAATCTCAGCCGTCCAATCCCAGTGGGGACAGTTGCCACAGACGACCTTGGCTGTTATAAAGAACAGGTTCTTTTTCTCTTCAGGCAACAGCTTGAAGGTGGTTATGCCTGAGAATGGTTTTGACAGGCGGTGTGTGATGCATGGTTGCCCGACTTACCCATAGGGTTTATCTTGGGGTTCCTTTGAGCCCCCAGAAATAAGGTGGAGGGCCATTCATTTGGTAGATACTTACTTGCCTGTCTTGGCTGTTGCTACTCCTGCTGCCAGGGAACTGGGTAAGGAACTCACTTGGGAAATGAAGCAAGTTCCAGACAGTGTTTTGGCAGAATAGTGGACCTATAATTAGATCATTTTGGAGCTGCTAACCCAGACCAGATAGTCTAACACAAATGAACTGGAAAAGGCCTTTGGATTTACCTTTTGAGTTTGTCTTGCCTATTAAGGCCCTAGGAAATCTCTGTGTTTTGGGGATGACTGGGCTCTCATTCCAGAAATCTTAATTGGTTAGCGGTCTTTTGGACTTGCTTGGCTGGCATGCATGGGTCTCTTGTTTGCCTCTCATTGAGTGTGGTGGTCACATACCTGCTGTCCCAGCACTTGAAGTGGAGACAGTAGCTACATAGTGAGTTTGAGGCCACCCTGCCTCCAAGAAAAGGGGTAAGGTTAACTCTTAAAATCAGCAAGGCCCAGAAGCAGAGCACGGTGGCTCTCAAACACTGGGAGCTTAGGCAGGAGGGTCATTACAAACTCAAGGTCAGCCTGGACTGCACACTGAGTGAGTTCCATTAAGCTTGAACTCCAAGGTTAAGTGCTTGCTATGCAAGCCTAAGAACCTGAGTTCAAACTTCTTTTGGGCTGGCAGCTCACAAAAAGTAAAATGACACAAAGGCTCATTTATTAATTATAAAAGCTTGACCTATAGCTTAGGCTTGTCCCACTAGCTCGTATTTAAAACTTAAATACCCATATCTTTTAATCTGCACTCTTTCATGTGGCTCAGTTACCTTTGTATTGCCCGTCTTGCTTCCTCCATTTCCATGGCAACACCACCTTCCCAGAGTGTTCCCTGTCCAGAAGCCCCTACTATACCCCCTGCCTAGCTATTGGCCATTTAGCTTTTTATTAAATTAATCACAGTGACACATCTTCACATAGTGTAAAGGAACATTCCACAACATAACCTCCACCTAACAGCCATGTTCCATTATGTGTCTGTAACCCTCATAGTACTGGGGTGTGGCAGTTAATCTAGCAGAAACAAGTTTGAATGACAGACTGTATTAAAACTATTAATAAGGCAGAAGGCCAGTAGAGGAAGACACAAAGTTAACTGACACACAACATGTATGTGTACACGAAGACACACAGAGCTAAAACAAGAAATGTATAAAGCTGTCAAAGCCTTAACAAAATTAAGGAGTAGAATACGGAGAGATTCTGCAGTGTACCTAGGATTCTGAGGAGCATATCAGCATCGTTCTTATCTGCCTATACTGTCTAAATTAACCTCCAGTTTGATTAGTCTTTTAATACTAAGAGCCTTTTTTAAAAAGGTAAACCAGGAGGTGGTGGCAAGCACCTTTAGTCCCAGAGCTCTGGCAGCAAGGACAGGCAGATCTCTGAGCCGGAGGCCAACCTGATCTACAGAGTGAGTTCCAGGACTGCTGAAGCTAATGAAAAGTGGTAGTGCTTGCCTTTAATGTGCAAGACCCAAGATTTAGAGAGAGAGTGAGTGAGTGTATGTATGTAATCACCTCACTAAGGCACTAAGGACTAAAGAAGCTGAGGTAGGAAGATTTCATGTTCCACAAGTTTTATGCCAGCTGGGGGCTACATAATGAGACCTGTTAAGGGGAGATGACAATTAGAAAGAAAAAAAAATTTTTCGAGACAGTTTCCCTGTCGAGACAGTATTTGCTTTGAAGCCTCTCCTGGAACTCACATTGCAGACTAGGCTAGCCTCCAGCTCATAGAGATCCTCCTGCCTCTGCCTCACAAGTGCTGGGATCAAAGGCGTGCTCCACCAACGCCCGGCAGATCTTTCTTTTTTAACCCCCCAGGAGGTGTGTAGTTTATATCTCTCCATGCTTAAGCTGGGTTTTTTACAGGTGATCTGGGTTTGTAGTTAGGCCAGGAATTGGAATGACTGTCAGGTCATCATGCTTAATTAGCCCTATCTAAAAGCAATATTGTTTTCTTTTAAGACAGAATCTCATCATGTAGCCTAATCTGGCCAAAAACTCACAACTCTCTCTCTCTGTGTCTTTTTTATTTTTTGAGACAAGATTTTTCTGTAGATCAGACTAGCCTTGAATTCAGAGTTCCACCTGCCTCTGCTTAAGGAGTGCTGGGATTAAAGGTGTGCACCGCCACCACCCTTTCTTTAATGCCATTAACTCTGCCCCAGGTGCTGGAGTTACAGGCTTGCACCATCACATTCATCTTAAGGGGAATTTTGTATCAGTGAGAATTCTTCTCTAGATAGGATATTTGGAAATTTGAAAAGAGCAGTGTGGTTCTACATTAACAGTGACTTAAAGCATGTCTATACCACTACCCATTTTCTATAAGACCTAGTCTGAAATTAATTTCAACAAAACATTCATTTTTCTCCCATGAAATAGGCTTAACACCCAAAACTTTTGAAGACAAGGCTCTAATCTCTATCTACTTTCCAAGTGGAGCTTAACTTTGTGTTAATTGTGGGAAAAGTCTGTTTGTTCCTCCCGGCCTTTAAATTGGGAGCAGGTCAATCTGAAGACATTGGCATAGACGGGCTGCAAAGACAGACTGGTTCTTAGAATCTGAACGTGCTATGCACAAGAAACCAGACTCATCTCAACTAAAGCCACACAGTAATTTCTTGTGCCTTATGTCAGTACTTTTGGAGGAAAAGGGGCCAGGTGTGAAATCTGAATCAGTGGGGGAACTTTGCAGTATCTTCTCTCAACTGCCCTGACTTTGTTGTTACCTGCATGCTTGATCAGATTGTGATTCTGAAGTGGCATGGAATCTGACAGTATTTACTTTTTGGGCTGCTGATGTGTGATGCTGGATTGGGATTGCAGGCGTGACCCACCACACCCAACATTATTTTTTTCACATGACTTAGGAAAGGATTCTTGTAAAACCTAGAGCTAAAGCTTGTTAAAAAGAAAAAAATGTACAGTGAGGAAATCATTTAGTATTTCCAAGAAATGTTGAGGTGACAATCATATTTAGTGTCTGGGTGTATGTCCACAGCACTCTTGGGTGTCAGGATCATTGGTGTGAGTTAATTTTTTTTTTTTCCTTCCACATACTGAGAGCATCAGGCTTGGTAGCAAGTGCTTTTACTTGCCGGGCCTTCTCACCAGCCTAGGCATAACTTTCTAATTAAAAGTAGTAAGAGTTAATGCATTAAAAACAATAATTGAATCTGAAGAGGTGATAAACTGCTTTTTTAAAGGCTTATTTATTATGTATACAATTTTCTGTCTGAATGCCAGAAGAAGGCACCAGATCTCACTATTATAGCTGGTTGTGAGCCACCATGTGGATGCTGGGAGTTGAACCAGGGTCCTCTGGAAGAGCAGCCAGTGCTCTTAACTTCTGAGCCATCTTTCCAGCCCTGAACTGTTCTTGTAGAGGATCTGAGTTTGGTTCCCAACATCCACAATGGGCAGCATTATCATGCTGCCCTCTTCTGACCTTCTCGGGCAGCTGCACACACATGGCATACTCAGACACATAAATTAAAAAGAATCTTTAAAGATACATTTTTAAGCTGGCCATGTTGGTGCTTACCTTGATCCCCTCATTCTATAGTAGAGGTGAATGGAGGTCAGTCAGCCAAGGCTGTATAATGAGACCCTGTCTCACACACACAATTCTAGAAATACTTAGTAAAATAAGCAAACTTATAAAGAACACTGTGGGCTTCTGATGAAAGAAAAGGTCAAGACTCTATTCTTTGTCTTCTATTTTGGCGACTCAGTCCTTTTCTGAGGTTTGAGTGATACCTTTTATGGTCTTTGAGTAATTAGTGGGCCTGTAGGCAAGTAGGACCTCCTACTTACTGTTAGGAAGTGTCAAGTAGCTAGGCGTTGGTGGCACATACCTTTGATGA